TGGGAAATAATTAATAATCTATGCCATATATCTTCACACCCCATCTACATCCCCAACTGCCCACTAGGAGTTTGTTGTTAGGTGCCATAGAGGCTGACTCATAACTACCCTGTGCACAACGGAACAAAACACTGCCCAGCCTTGCGTCATCCTCACAATTGTTAGGTTTGAGCCCATTGTTGCAACCACTGTGTCAATCCATCTCTTTTTCATTGATCCTTCACTTTACCAAGAATGATGTCTTTTTCCAGGGACTGATTTTATCTAATAGTATGTTCAAAGTGCTTCTAAGGAGCCTTCTGGTTATACTTCAAAGACTGATTTGCTTGTTATTTTGGCAGTCTTTGGTACTTTCAGTATTCTTTACCAACATGATAATTCAACTGCATCAGTGCTTCTCAGGTCATCCTTATTCACTGTCCAACTTTCATACTCATATGAGACCTTTGAAAACACCATGGCTCGGGTCAGGCACACCTTAGTCCTCAAAATGATAGCTTTGCTCTTGAACACTTTAAAGAGGTCCTGTGTAGTTGATTTGCCTAATGCTGTTTTGATTTCTTGACAGCCGCTTCCATGAGTGTTGATGGTGGATCCAAGCAAATGAAAATCTTTGTTAACTTCAACCTTCTCTCTATTTATTATGATGTTGTTTTTTGGTCCAATTTTGAGGATTTTTGTTTTTTTTTTTTTACTTTGAGTTATAATCCATACTGAAGGCTGTATTCTTTGGTTTTCATCTGCAAGTGTAAGTGTTTCAAGTTGTGTCATCTGCATATTACAGGTTGTTAATGAGCCTTCCTCTAATAGCAATGCCACATTCTTTTTCATATAGTCCAGCTTCTCGGATTATTTACTCAGCATACAGACTGAATAATTACAGTGAAAGACTACAACCCTGGTGCACATCTTTCCTGATTTTAAGCCATGTAGTATCCCCTTGTTCTGTTTGAATGACTGTCTCCTGGTCTATGTACAAATTTTACATGAGCACAATTCAGTGTTCTGGGATCCCCATTCTTTGAACAGATAAGAGTAGATTAGGTCAAATAAATTATCCTTTTCAGATTGATTACTAGAGGAGCACATTGGTGGTGTTTTGTAGCTGAATGAATTCTTACTATACTGAGAGCTTAAGCTCAAATTGAGTAATAAAATCAATTGTAAGACAAGGCCCTTTTAACAGATGATACTTACCCTATGTGCTATTGCCACATGTAATTCATTCCTACTCCCTTTCTGTAAACTGATGTTTTAAATGCAATGTCTAGAGAGCTTTAAACTATTTTTCATATTGCTTTTCATTATTATCCTTAATGAAAATTAAAAAAATTTCACCAATGATACTTCTTCACATAAACCTTGGGAAGTTGAAGAGAAGCAGAGTTCATTTTCCCACTGTGTTGCTCAACAAAATCAGAAATATGTAACTGCTTTCTATGTAGCAGCTTCATAAGTAACTGGAGGCCTCTGGACAGCCATACACTATATTCCTGTGTATAATCACATCCAACATATTTATCTCAATATAAGTACTGGACTATAAACTACAAGGTCCATGGCTCTAGCCCTCAAGCCACTCTGTGGAAGAAAGATGAGGCTTTTTGCTCCTGCAAATATTTGAAGCCTCAGAAACCCTATAAAGGGTTGCTATAGTTAGAACCAACCAATCAACTGCACTTACAACAACATTTTACTATGGGACACCTGGTGTGATACTGTAGGATAAGCACTGGGTTGCAAATCACAAAGTGAACAGTTCAAACCCACCAGCTGCTCCTTAGAAACCCTAAACAGGGTTGATATGAGTTGGAACAGACTCAACAGCACTTAACAACATTTTTCTATGTATTTTTCTAAGCCAATCAGACAACAGTTTTTTTTCTGTAAGATTACAGTCCAGTCGGGGAGAAAGATCATTGATTTGTCTAGCAAAGTACTCAATTTCTCTGAAAGTTGATTCAATAGATCAGAGAATGGATTCAAAGAGTAAATAGTCTGATATATTGTTGAAAAATTAATGTTGAAAAATATTATTGAAAAAATAATGTTGAAAAATTGACTCTTCAAATGGAAAAGACATCAGGCATGCTTTTGGTTGTGGTAACTGTCCTGTGCATCCCAGAGAGGGAGAGGGGCTGAGTGCTGATGATCAAGGGTAAGGCTTGCAGGGTATACCCTTTGGTTGGTTGATGATGCATGGAGGGGATTATAACCATGGCAATGAAACAATATACAATAGGATGAATGTAAAGCTAATGTTCTATGTAAACTATCACATAATGCACAATAAAACATTAAAAAAAAAACAAAACTGAATGGAGCCCGTCATAATCTGGGGACTATCTGTATAACTGAGCAAGAATCTCAAAAGCTCCAAAAAAGATGATTCCAAGGAAAAAAATGGAACTGATAGATTCTTTTATGAGTTTAATGATATGAGGATTTATACATTTTAGAAAGTTTGAGATAAGTTATGTAAATGGAAAAGTAAGCAAAGTGGGAAAGGAGGCAATTATTAACTTAAATGTAAAACACCATGAAGCTAAGATGTAAGTAAAATTTACACAGTCATAATTATATAAACAGAATCCTAGTATGGTGCTGTAGGATAAGCACTGGACTGCTAATCTCAAGGTTTGTGATTCAAACTCACCAGCTGCTCCTCAGAAACCCTATACAGAGTCGTTATGAGTTGGAACCAACTCGATGATACTCAACAATAACAATTATATCAACATCAAGTATTTAACCAAATTACTGTATTATTATATATGACAGGATGCCAGTGTGTGTATGCATGTGTTCTGTGGGGTATGGCTCAAGAAGGGAAGTAAATAGGTGATATCTAAAACTGAAGTTCCAGAATAAGCATTTTACAAGCATGCTATTTTAGAAAACTGGAAGTAAATATGGGGGTTCAATTAAAAGCATCTAAAGAGGTTACCTCTGGATAGTCAGATTCTTGAATAAAGCTGGAACAATTTTTGTGCTGTTGTGCATACACGTAAAACGTAAGATGGCTAACAGAAACCAGATGAAATGTAGAGTATTTGCTGTTTCTGTTGCGTGACTTGAATACATTCTTAAAAATATAAAACATCTAACAATGAGGATTATTTTTTTAAATGCGTTGTAAATGCCATAACCATTGAAAAGGAAACAGTATAAATAGCAAAATGTATAAAGGGGAGGATAGGAAGGAGAAAGCATAAAAATATCGAATCCTTCATTTTTAATTGTAGGTAATTAACTGATGTGTTAATATTTTAATATCTGTATCATATTCTTGCTTTTTTGGAGTCCTGGTATGGTGCTGTGGGCTAATGCATTGGACTGTAAAGTCACTTTGAACTGCAAGGTTGACAGCTCAAGCTTACCAGCCACTACTTGGAAACCCTATACAGGATAACTGTGGGTCAGAACCGACTCAACAGCCCTTAACAACAACAAATCTTGCTTTTAGCATTATAGGGATTATTTATCTAAACTTAGACAAATTATATACTTTCACATCATTTCATTTTGCTTACTCAAGTAAAATTAACTGATAGATTTAGTTATAAAGCTATAATTTATTATAAATCCATTTTTAGAAAATTATTTTTATTTATCTATTCCTATGGTGTGGCACTGTAGGATAAGCACTGGAGTGCTGCCCAAAAGGTTGGCAGTTCAAACTCGCCAGCCACTCCTCAAATGCCCTATACTCATAAGGTCGCTGTGAGTCAGAACCAACTCAACGACACTTAACAACAATGTTAATAATGATTATTTCTGAATGGCAGACTAATAATATTAATCTTCTTTTATGTGCTTAAATTGAGGAGTTCTGGTATAGTGTTTCAGGATATTCACAGAACTGAAAGTTTGGTTTGAGCCGCAGTCTGCAGTTCAAATCCACCGGCTGCTCCTCATAAACCCTAGACAGGGTCACTATGAATCAGAACCAACTCAACTGGCACTTAACAACAACATCACATTCTTAAATTACATTTGAGTAGATATTGGTTTGGAAAGAATGTTATATATCAAAAATTATTATAAAAACATAATCACAAACCCACCAACGTTTTTCTGTTTCTAAAGCACATACTCTAAATAAATGTATCAATTTTGAAAGAAATATTCAGTTCAGAAGATATCATCCAGATAAAATATCGGCTCATTTTAGGAAAAACAATAGAGTTGCTTTTTTGATTTTTGCTTTTTTTTTTATTGTGACTTGGGGGAAGGTTTACAGACAAGAGCATCAACTTTACATTCAACAAATTATACACTTTGTTTCATCTCAATGATTGCAATCCCCTCCTTGTGACAATAGTTATCCTACTTCAATAGAGTAGTTTTGAAACAACACTACAGAAATCAGTAATTTTAAGGTTATAAAAAATTTTAAGTAAGTGACCATTTTTTTTTTAAAGTGGATGCCTTCATTTACAATAGATTCATGATGATGATCATGCCAAAAGTTGGAATACAAATCTGTCAACCAGAAAATAACAATGAACAAGTTCAACTGTCACGAAACTGAAAACAGTTGTGATTTCCAAAGATCTGACCAAATAAAACCCTGGGTAACACCTTTTTTGTGCTATTGTGCATACATGTAAAATGTGAGATGGCTAACAGAAACCAGATGACATGTAAAATATATGCTGTTTTTGTTGTGTGCTGTGGAGCTGGATCTTGTGTACGGTTTCCATGCTGTAAATCTTTAAGGGAGCAGAAAGCCTCATCTTTCTACCGCAGAGCGGCTGGTGTGCTGCAGCCCTGTATCTGTGACTATGTGTCCAATGCTTATAGCCACAGATCCAAATGGCTATAAATATGGAAATGACAGTAAGACCATGTAAGAATAGGTAAGCAGCAAGTAGATGACTTGGGCTTTGGTGCCTGAGAATCTGGACTATGGCACTCATAGTCAATGAAGGCATACAGAAATTATAAATGAAATAAGTAAATTTGATCATTAACCAGATCTTCTCAAAATCAGATTGCTAATTTAACCCCAAATGATTTATAAACTCATCGTTTCCCTCAGTATCCCTACCAGTTTCTTTAACCAAAAAGTTGGGGAATATAGGTTTAAGAAAATTGAACTCGCTGGCCCCAGAACCTCCTGTCAGACAAACCTCATACTGGTAGCTCTGGGACAGGGTCCCTGTACCACTGATGTCCACCAAGTGGCCCGGAAAGTGGCCCTCTGGCACTGAGCAGCGACCCAAGTAGGTCCTATTCCTCTTGCACAGCCGCACCACCACGAACAGGAGCACTGAGAACAGGAAGAGCGTCGAGACGGATGCCAACGCAATGATCAAGTAGACAGTGAGCGAGTCGGTCTGAGTCTCATCGAGGGTCGTCTCCGGGAGCCGCAGGTAAGGCTGTGAGAAACCATCTACAAAGAGCACGTGCAGTGTGACGGTAGCTGACATTTGAGGCTCGCCATTGTCCTTGACTAACACAACCAGTCTGTGCTTGGCCGCGTCGCGCTCGCTCAGAAGCCTGGCAGTGCGTACCTCGCCATTGTGCGCCCACACGCTGAACAGTCCAGGCTCGGTGGCCTTGAGCAGTTGGTAGGACAGCCAGGCGTTCTGGCCTGAGTCTCCGTCCACAGCCACCACCTTGGTCACCAGGTAGCCCGCCTCTGCTGCCCTTGGCACCAGCTCGGTGTAGGACGCAGAGTCGTTCTGCAGTGGGTACAGCACGAAGGGTGAGTTGTCGTTGTCGTCCACGATCACCACACGCACCATTGCCTCGCTGCTCAGCGTTGGGGAGCCTGCGTCTGTTGCGACCACGCGGAACTCGAATGATCGCTGGGCCTCATAATCCATAGACCTCAGAGCAAATAGATGCCCATTGTCTGCATTGATGGAGACCAAGGAGGCGAGGGGGAGGTGCGGGTCGAGGGGCGACAGCAATGAGTAGGTGATTTGGGCGTTGGTACCTGAGTCTCTGTCAGTGGCGCTGACTGAGCCAAGGTACATCGCGGGGCTGTTGTTCTCGCGGATGAACAAAATGTAAGAGTTCTCGGCAAAGGTGGGTGCATTGTCATTGACGTCAGAGACCAGCACGGTTAGTTTGTGTTCTGTTTTCAATCTGGGCGTACCCAAGTCTGTGACGGTGACATTGATACTGTACTCTGCTCTGGTCTCTCTGTCCAGTGGTTTCTCTGTTACCAGGGTGTAGAAATTATCTACATTAGGCTTCAAAAGAAAGGGGAGATTATCCTGGATGGAACACATCATTTTTCCGTTGTCCCCAGAGTCAGGATCTGAAATTCTGAAAATGGCGACCACAGTTTCCGGGGAGTTTTCCGGAATATCATTGATAAGTAGTGACATGGTGATTTCGGGGGCGTTGTCATTCACATCCACCACTTCTATAGCTACAGTGCATTTTCCGGAAAGACCCCCACCATCTGATGCCTCAATTTCCATACTGTAAAATTTAATTTCCTCAAAATCCAGCAGTTTTTTAAGTCGAATTTCACCCATGACTGCGTTTATTTCAAAAACTTGAACAACTTGATTTGAAGGATGAAAAAACGAGTAGGAGAGCTCCCCATGGGTTCCAGCATCTAAATCTCTAGCGGAGACTGTGATGACAAGGGAATTTATTGGGCTGTTTTCTGGGACCTGCACCTCATAGAGCAACTGAGTAAATTCAGGGGCATTGTCATTGACATCCAAGACCAGAATGACTACCTGGGACGTTCCTGTCCTGAGTGGTGACCCACCATCCAGCGCCGTCAGGGTTAACCTGAGCTCAGACTGCTCCTCCCGATCCAGCGCTTTGTCCAGCACCAGTTCTGGGTATTTCCTGCCATCGCTGTGAGTACGAGTGAAAAGGTGGAAATTGAATTTGGCACTAATCGTATAGTTCTGAACTGTGTTGCTGCCTACGTCCAAATCTTGAGCTATTTTCAAGGGAAACGCAGTTCCTGGCGGGCTGTTTTCTGAGATTTTCAACAAGATTTCACTTTCCAAGAATACTGGTGCATGGTCATTTATGTCTTGAACCTGTAATTCACCTTGAAAAAATTGCACCGGGTTTTTCAATAATATCTGGAAATGCAGTATACATGGATCTGTGTCACCGCACAACTCCTCCCTGTCCAATTTTTCTTTTAGGAGCAAATTCCCATTCTTCAGCTGGAGCTGCAAATGTTTGCTCCCGTCAGAAAGGATCCGGGCCCCCCGCGCAGCCAGCTCACCTAAGCCCAGTCCCAGATCCTTTGCTAGATTGGCCACGAATGACCCGCTGTCCCTCTCTTCTAGGACCGAATACTTAATGGTTGCACTACCCGCCTCCCACCACAGTAATAGAATAATAATGGCGGCCACTTGCCTTTTCCGCAGTTCTTTGGTGAGCGACGTATCCATTGTTCCTTTGGGTACAGAACAATTACTAAATCACAAAATAATTGTTTTATAGTCAATTATCCTGAGTTAGTTCTTTTAACATTGACGAATATGAGTATAGCTAGCTCTCCAAAAATCTTACATGCCCAGTAATGCAAAAGATTTCCCTCCTTCCGTGAGCTGCCAGAACTGCTCGGTTTTAATGGAGTCAAATCACTGGAGTCCTGCAGAGCCAGGTTTTCCCTCTCTTAGCCTGCAGCGCCACCAAGTGTTTTTGCTTTCCAACTTCATGGATTTTTCATTTCAAAGTTGATGATAATTCCTAAAATGTGTCTCACACCTTTCAGGTCAAAGAATTATATACACCCCCTTACTTGTTCAAGTAGCTAGCAATAATTGTGAGAGTAAACATCTTCCTTAATAAGTATCAATTCTTTCTAATCACGACAAAAAATTTTCATTTAACGAATATTCATCTGCGCAGGCATTCTTTTAATTTATGGGAATAAAACAGTAAATGAAACACAAAAAATTCCTGCTCTCATGGAGTGCATACTGTCAAAAAAAAAAAAAAAACCAAAACAAACAACCCAATAATTTGTTCTGTTAGAAGAGCATTATGAATATTTTTAGCCCAGTTTCTACTCTGAAAACAAATGTTAAGGTGTTTGAAACTCTTGAAAGAAATTGAAAATGTGATTTTTTGTCAAGCCTTGAGTTACAAAGCTTTGGGGGATGTCTTCTTTGCATAAATTAATTGTGTACAATACCCAGTAAGCTTCAGAGGAAAACATTGCTTTATTAGAAATCAGTATAAGCTTAGAATTCAGGCAGTCTTTTCTACAAATATGAAGAGAGCAATGAAGTCAACGAAGTAAAACTACAACAAAACTCTTCTTGGAAAAGGGTCCTGTCTGACTTGTATACACTGAACAAGAGCCTTTCCTTCAATATGTCCTCTAAGATTATGGACGTAGGGTTATTTAAAATCACTACTTCAACTCAACTTGGAGTGAGAATAGTTGAAGCAATTCTCCAAAAGAAGAATGTTATTCAGTCAACCAGTTTGATAATCATCTATGGGAATTCATTTACTTGAACAAAAATCAACCAAATAAAATTTAGGTAATTGTGAAACTGTAGGATAAGTTCTGGACCACAAGGTAGGTTTGAACTGCAAGGTTGGTGGTTCAAATCCACCAGGTGCTCCTCAGAAGTCCTATACAGGGTAGCTATGACTCAAATGATTCAATAGCACTAAACAACAATACAGTTGTATTTTAATTGAGGATAAAAAGTATTCACTGAATTATCACTTGATAATATAAATTGCCTGACTTTGATAGGAGTTGGAAAGGGCATTTTTCATAAAATATAACGGATATAGGTTAAAATAGGTTTTATGACTAATAAAGACATATAATGATTATTTATACAGAACTTGAAGGGAAAATCTGACATTAGTGTGGCGCTGTGGGCGAATGCGTCAGACTGAAAAGTCGTGAAATACAAGGTCAGTGGTTCAAGCTCACCAGCTGCTCCTTGGTCGCTATGGGTCGGAATTAACTCGACGGCACTTCACAACAACAACAACAAGAAGCAGGTCCTTGAGTCCTGGTGTGGTGCTGAAGGATAAGCACTGGATTGCAAGTAACTACTCCTTGGAAGTCCTATGTGGATCACTTTGAGTCGGAACCAACTCTACCGCCTGTAACAACATCTTAGTGTTTATCTTTACTATTTCAAAATTTCACATTACCTCAAAATGTGACTTACACGGGAAGATTTAATAATAGCAAACATTCAGATTGTAAAGATCTTATATGGTGATAGTGATAACTATAGTTAGCTTAGTCTTTGCAATTTTTGGAATATAATTTTTATGATTTCAAAGCATTTAAATGCAAATAAACTTTTTACTTTTTATTCAGATTGTCAAATATTGTTGAATGAGAGTAATAAAAAAACAAACAAACACTGAAATTATATAGGGAAAATACGTGTTACCACAGTTTGATTTTTAAAATTTCAACATAAGAAATGGTAGTAAAATCAGCAATAGATCTGCAGTAACATGCATTAAGCATGGAAATTCATGCTATGTAATCTGCAATATTGACAAGGGTTGAGAATCCAATACCTAACTGAATTGGAAGTTATCTTTTAAAAAAAGTTTTCCTACTTTACCTCCTCCCTGTTTCTTGGAGAGAGAAGTTTGGGGAAATTGGCTTCAGGAACTTGAAATCCTTGGTCTGTGAGCCCCCTGCCAGACACACCTCATACTTGTAGTTTTGGGACAGGGTCCCGGTGCCGCTGATGTCCACCAAGTGTCCCGGAAAGTGGCCCTCCCGCACTGAGGCGGCTCTGTTTCTCCTGCACAGCCGCACCACAATGAACAGGAGCACAGAAAACAGGAAGAGCGAGGAGACAGACGCCAACGCAATGACCAAGTAGATGGTTAGCGAGTTTGCCTGGGCCTCTTCGGGAGCTACCTCTGGAAGCGGCAGATAAGGCTGTAAGAAACTAGGAGCACGTGCAGCGTGACGGTGACCGACATTGGCGGCTCGCCATTGTCCTTGACTAACACGACCAGTCTGTGCTTGGTGGCGTCGCGCTCGCTTAACAGCCTGGCGGTGCGCACCTCGCCGTTGTGCGCCCACACGCTGAACAGCCCTGGCTCCGTGGCCTTGAGCAGCTGGTAAGACAGCCAGGCGTTCTGGCTCGAATCACTGTCCACCGCCACAACCTTGGTCACTAGGTAGCCCACCTCGGCCGACCTGGGCACCAGCTCGGTACAGGGCGCAGATCCGTTCTGCAGTGGGTACAGCACAAAGGGCGAGTTGTCGTTGTCGTCCACGATCACCACTCGCACCAGCGCCTCGCTGCATAGCACGGGGGAGCCTGCATCTGCCGCGCCACGAGGAACAGTGCTTCATAATCCAGCGACCTCAGAGCGAACAGATGCCCATTGTCTGCATTGATAGAGATCAAGGAGGCGAGGGAGAAGTGTGGGTCGAGAGGCGGCAGCAGCGAGTAGGTGATTTGGGCATTGGTGCCACAGACAGTCTCTGTCTGTGGCGCTAACAGTGCCCATGTGCAGCGCGGGTCTGTTGTTCTCACGGATGAACAAAGTATAAGAATTCTGGGAGAAGATGGGTGCATTGTCATTGATGTCAGAGACCAGTACGGTTATTTTGTGTTCTGTTTTCAACTTGGGGATACCCAAATCAGTAAGGGTGACGGTCATGACGTATTCAGCTCTGTTTTCTCTGTCTAGCGCTCCTTCTCTACAGACGGTCTTAGTAAGAAGGGAAGACTGTCATCTATAGAACAAATAACTTGTTGGTTAATTCCAGAATCTGCATCTGAAACATGGAACACTGCTATTATCACCTCTGGCAAGTTTTCAGGATGGGACTGGTAAGTAAAGACATGGTCAATTCACGGACATTGTCATTCACATCCAATACCTTGATGACTAAGGAACATTTTCCTGATAGTCCACCTCCATCTGTAGCCTCAACATCCATGTTCTTCCTAGTTGAATTTCTCCTGAGATTGTGTTTATTTAGAAGGGTTGGTTAATGTCATCTATCTGAAATAGGGCATAAGATACCTCCCCAAAGGACCCTGCGTCTAAATCTGTCGCTGAGACTTTGACAACCAGGGAGCCTAGGAGGTTGTTCTCGGGGATTTGCACCTCATAGATCTCCTGAGTAAACTCAGGCGTGTTATCATTGATGTCTAAGACTACGATCTGAATTTCTGCAGTATCAGACAGGGGAGGAGTCCCTCCATCCACCGCGGTTAAAATTTAAGCTGAAGTGGGGCTGCTTCTTACGATCCAATGTTTTGACTAGCACCAGCTGAGGGATCTTTCTTCCATCACTGAGATTTTGAGTGAGAACATGAAAGTGGGGGTTAGGAGTGATTGTGTAGCTCTGAAGGTGGTTGCTACCATTTTCAAAGGAAATATCTTTCCTGATGTAGTAATTTCTGATATTTTTCAGGAGCATTTCTTTGGTGGGGAACTTTGGGGCATGGTCATTTATATCTCTGACCCTTAATCCAGCTTGAAAAAATTGCAGGGGATGTTCCAGTAACACTTGGAAAGGTAGTACACATGGCTCAGTGGAACCACACAGCTCCTCCCAGTCCAATTTCTCATTTAGCAGCAAATCATGGGTCTGTGGGTCAATCTGCAAATGCTGTCTGGTCCCTTTGAAAACAACCCGGGCACGTCTTGCCGCCAGCTCTTCCACCCTGAGTCTGAGGTCCTTTGTCAAGTTGGCCACAAACGTGCCATTTTCTGTCTCCTCCAGCATGGAATCCTGCATTGATTCTGAACCCACCTCCCATAAAAGCATCAATATAATAAAGTTCTCCACTTGCCTTTATCTTGTGCTGTAGTTTTGTTTGTGCCATCTCTATTGTTCTGTCAGAGTGGAGAGGAAGCAAAAAAAAAAAAAAAAAGATCCCTCTTCAGCTTCCAACTACTGTGTCCATTCACTGGAACTGAAATGTCTTTGTTATAGAATTTCTAATTTGTTCTTGTAACTGACGTGGTGACTGCCTTCCTGAACACTTTGGCTCTAAATGTAAAATTTTACTTCAGCTAAGTGGGTGTAATGGAGTCTACCGGATCTTGAGGATTTAAAAATTCCCTTTCTTAGCCTATACGGCCACCACGCGTCCAAATCAGTAACTTCGTTCTTAGGTCAATGTTCCCATTCCTAAAATCTGTGCATTATAAACAACCTCGTAGTGTATGAAACACATGCATAAAGAATTACCTGGGCTTACAGGTGTTTTTTAATTTAAAAATTGTATAAAAATTTTTAAAGCTAATTCCTGGTATTCCCTCCAAATCTTAGATCCAATTCTCTGGTAATGCTAACATGACTCTCTTAGTGGTTTTAATGCACTCTCACTATTAAGAATCGCTCCTTCAATGTAAACTAATAACTAAGTTTGATTCTCCAGCAGTGTAATTTATCTCTGATGAGAAGTGTAATTTATAAGTCCAAGAAGTACCACCATTTAACTGTCCCTATAAACAACTTATCAACAAACTACATACGTAAAACTTATAACAAGTTGGTTAGCTACAGTAGTGGTTTTGTTTTGCTAGTGGTAAAGCAATCATTTCTCTAAGTTGCATGACTTTTACAACATCCTTTGTTATGTAGTTGTACCATAAAAGAACAATCAGATGATTAGGAGAGAAATTCAAGCCAAGAAATGCTGCTTACAAAAACTAGCAGTCAAGTATTTGTCAATTATTTTAGGATTGTCCTTCAATTTTGTATAGGTAGAATCGGTTATGACTTAAAGGGCTTGTTAAAAAGATGTTTTTAAGATGAAACACATTTAAGTGAATACCATGGATATGACATAGTACCTATGCCCTTTCTTATTTCATCAGTTTTTCTAAGATAGGTTAGAAATGTATCTCTAAATATCCTGAAAATGCACAAAATATTACTGAGTCAGTGCACATATAAGAACACAAAATAATCCAAACAATGTTCAATTCAGATTGGTTTCATATTTATTGAGAGGTACAATTGAGTTCAGACAAAAAAGTCACTTCAGGTATAAGTCAAGATGATGGAATATTGAAAATGAGGATATTTTTCAAAATACTTCAAATGCAGGTAAAATAAATAAAGCTAAATAAGATCTGATCTCTGAACAGGTGAGATAATTTTGTAGTTAAAAACCACCTCTGTTTATCCAGAGGAATAAAGTTAAGATCAATGTGACCGACCAGCCTCTGATAAATACTACTGAGAATGAACTGTTTTGAGGATGTTGTTGTTGTTGCTGTTGTTATGTGCCGTGGAGTCGGTTTCAACTCATAGCAATCCTGTACAGGGTTTCCGAGGCTGTAAATCTTTACGGGAGCAGAAAGCCTCATCTTTCTCCGGTGAAACGGCTGGTAGTTTCGAACTGCTGACCCTGAGGTTCGCAGCCCTATTCGTAACCACTATGCTATCTGAGCTCCTTTTGTTTATATGAATAACAAATTAACCCATGAAGCAAAACCAATAATCATGAACATTTTGGATGGATTTAGTTTCTTCTCTGAAAAAAGCCTTTTCGTAAGACAATTTAAAATGCTTCCTTAGTGAACATTCTGAGTTGTTTCAATCTTAATGGCATGCATGGGATCTGGAGAATCCTTTATTCACTCTCTTTTCCTTCAGGCATTCTTAAGCACAACCTATTTATTTTTCATTTTAAAGCAAATTTTAATAATAGCATAGTATGGCTGTGTGCCGTGGAGTAGGTTCTGACTCATAGCGAGCGACATTGTACCGGGTTTCCGAGACTGTAAATCTTTACGGGAGCAGAACGCCTTATCTTTTTCTCCCGTGGGGCAGCTGGTAGTTTCAAACTGCTGACCTTGCGGTTTGCAGCCGGATTCGTAACCACTATGCTACCAATTAAATTTAAATTTAAATACTTGTAATGTCCTTCACAATTTAGTTCCTGAGAATATTGTTTTAATAATAACAGTGTTGTTGTTAGGTGTCATTGAGTCAGTACCGACTCAAAATGATCCTAGGCATGCACAACAGAATGAAACACTGCCTAGTTTGGGGCCAACCTTACAATTGTTGCCACACTTGAGTCCACTGATGCTGCCACTTTGCCAATCCATCTTGCTGGGGGTCTTCCTCTTTTTCTCTGATGCTCCACCCTACCAAATACAATATCCTTCTCCAGTGACTGGTCCCTCCTGACAATATGTCCGAAGTATGAGTGACGAAGTCTGGCCAACATGGCCTCCAAGAACACTGGCTGTACTTCTTCCAACACAGATCTGTTTGTTCTTTTGGCAGCCCATGGTACTTCAATAATAACATAGTACATGTCTAATTAAATTTAGATCATTGTAATGTCTTTTTAAAATGTTTCACAATTTCATTCCTGAGAATATTGATAGCTATGAAAGAAAGAGGTTAATATCTCAATAGACTTTAAAAATGTTATTGAGTAGGTCAAGAAATTGCCATTTTATGTAAAGGAGACTCTATTATATAGATTCTTTCAAAAAGAATGCTCTTTGCTTGATCTTGATTATTTTGATTTGATTTAGGGTAGAGTTGAATCTACTGCTTTCTTAAGCATGTTTTCACAAGGAATCATCTAAAATTTTTAATTATGGAAAAAGTCCAGCATATACAAAGTAAGTAGAGCAACATAATGAACCTCTACATTTATATATACATCACCAGCTTCACAACATTCTGACATTCTTGTTTCATTTATACCTTTCTCTTCACTTTTTGCCTCTACTCAATGATTAATTTTATTTTGTTATTTTCTTATAATATTTGTGTAAGGTGAAATGTACCAACCTTAGCTGCATTATTTTAACAAGTTCATATGATTTTGTCACCTACATCTCTTTCAAGATCTAGAATATTTCCACCATTCACTAGAATTCATCTTAATAAAAAAATTTAGCTTAATTTTAAGAATTAGTGGCAAAATTTATATATCCTCTAGACAAAATGTGAAAATTGAGATGATGAAAAAAAAGCACCATATCCTAATCATGTATGCTCACCTGAAGTGATGGGTATTTATAATTCAGCTTCATGATTATCAATGAGCTAAAAATTTACTTAAAGTGATGAAACATTATAAAATATGTTAAACTTAATTTTCTTTAGTTAACTTATAATTGTTTTATAGTTAAGCTAAGTTTCATTTTTATGCTACAAATTTTGCCTTCCTATCATTCTATTATAATTTAAAATAATTCAACTTTGTTAAAAATGAAAGATAAATTCAAGACTAACTTCCAGAGATGAATTGAACTTCTTACAATTCTTCCTGAACTTAATTATAGATGATATATAAACAGTCAGTTAAAGAAGACTCTCCATTGATGGTAGATAATGCTGCTGACAAATTTGAAAATAAGAAAATAAGAAACTACATTAGAAATTTCAAATATTGAGTAAGATGACTTTTTGACAGAGCTTTGTAAATTTTATTGATCTTTTCAAAGAACCAGATTTTTTTCCATTGATTTTTTTTCTCTATTGCTTTTCTGTTTTGAATTTCATTGATTTCTGTGTTTAATTTTGTCATTTCCATCCTTATCCTTGCTTTAGGTTCATTTTTCTCATATTTCTTATTGAGATGGGGAGCTTAGATGATTGACTAAAGGCATTTTTCTTTTCTCAAGTATATATTTCTTACAATAAAATTTCCTCTTAGTTGTTTCAACTGTATCTCACAAATTTTTGTATGTTGTATTTTCATTTTCAATTCCATTCGGTGGAATTTTTAAAATTTCCCTTGAGGCTTCTCCTTTGACCCATGAATTATTTAGTGGTATGTTTTTCAGTTTCCAACTGTTTGAAGATTTTTCCTGTTGTCTTTCTGCTATGAATTTTTTTTTGTTTGAATCCATTATAGTCAGAGACCACACTATTATTTCAATTATTTAAAATTGTTTGAAGGTGTTTTTATGATCCAGGATATAGTCTGTCTGTGAACACTTGAAGAGATTGTATATCTTCTGTTCAATATAAATATTAGATTCTATTGATTGATGGCATTGTTGAGTTCTTCTATATCTTTGCTAGTTTGATGTCTTATTCTATTTGTTTTTGAGAGAGATGTGTCAAAGTTTTCTTTAATTGTGGATTTGTCTATTTCCCCTTTCAGTTCTATTAGTTTTTGTTTCACATATTTGTAGTTCTTTTGCTTATTGCATATACATTTAATATTACTAGTCTTTCTAATGGATTGACCCTTTTTAATGTCTCTCTCTGTCTCTGGTATTTTTCTTTACTCTGAAGTGTACTTTATCTGGCATTAATATGAAAACCACTCCAGCTTTTTTTGGGTTAATGTTTGCATTGTATACTTTTTCCCATTATTTTACTTTTGTTGTTGTTAAGTGTGTCGAGTCGGTTCTGACCCATAGCGACCCTGAACAGCGTTTCCGAGGCTGTAAATCTTTAGGGGAGCAGAAAGCCTCATCTTTCTCCGGCGGAGCTGCTGGTAGTTTTGAATTGCTGACCTTGCGGTTCGCAGCCTGATTCGTAACCACTACGCTACCAGAGCTCCTATATAATTACATTTGAAGTGAGTTACTTGCAGAAGTATATAGTTTGCTCAAGTTTAAAAAAAAATTAATCAATTTTCAAAGTGTCTTTAATTGATATATTTATGCCATTTACATTTAATATAATTACTGATGTGTTAGAGCTTAATTCTGTCATTTTCTTTTTTGTTTTCTGCTTATTCTTTCTGTTTTGTTTGTTTGAATCTTACAGAGTTACTATAACTTTTTTTTAGAATTCCATTTCGATGTGTTACAAATTGGGCTGCTAACCTCAAGATTGGCAGTTCGAAACTACCAGCAGTTCCATGGGAAAAAGATGAGGCATTCTACTCCCATAAAGATTTACAGCCTCGGAAACCCTGTGCAGGGTCACTATGAGTTGGAAACAACTCCACAGTACTTAACAACAACAACATAGTGTTTTTGAGTATATTGTTTTTAGAGTTGTTTTAGGTATTGTATTTAATCTTGTTATTTCTCTCTCTCTCATTTTTTAGAAGTATGATAACAGGATGATAGTTTTGTACAGGCAGTTCCTGGATCATGAATAAGTTCCATTCCGAAGTCTCTTCAAGCCAGACTTGTATATAACTGGAACAGTTAGGTATTGTTCATATCTGTTGATGTTGTTGTTAAATGCTGTCAAGTCAGTTCCAACTCATAGTAACCCTGTATAGGATCTCCAAAGAGTAGCTGGTGAGTTTGAAATGCCAACCTTGAGGTTCATAGTCCAGTGCTAATTGTGCAACGCCACCCTAGGAGTCCATCTAATGTCAGTCAAATATTTGTCTTAGCACATATATAGTATACTTTTCTAGATATAAAAAATTTAAAGAAATACTTCCAGATACACTAAAATATCTTTAACACAAAAATACATGAATAATTATAATAATAATGGAGTCATGGTGTGGCACTATAGGATAAAAATTGAACTGCTTACCATAAGGTCAGTGGTTCAAACTCATCAGCCACTCCTCGGAAACTCTATACAGGGTCTCTATGAGTTGGAATCGACTCAATAGCACTTAACAACAATAATGTCTTGATGTATGTCTTAAAGTAACACTAGTGTTTTGTTATGAACCATTGTTTGTAACCTCAAAATTTTAATATAATAGGCTTTATGGAGCTTGGTTCACAACTGAGGGTTGTACATAGTTGGATGTTCATAACCCAGGGGCTTCCTGTGCTGATTTAGAGATTATTTAGTCCGGATGCAAGCAGAAAGAAAATGAGCTTCTAGTAGAAAGTATAGTGAATATAATAATAGATATGGTAAAGCCAATTGATATTGTCTAAAATGGTGAATCTATTTGATCTTCATTCTAAGAATATTCTACTTTGACACAGGAAGCACAATATTGAATTTAAAGAACAGGAAATACAGTGCTTATCACTAAGTAATAAGACTCTAAGTAATATTTTGAGAAAGAGAAAAGCAGCTTCTGATAACCAGGAATTGGTCTGGCACTCACATCTAACCTTGACTTCTCCTGTTGAATGCAAAAATTTTCACAGAAAACTCCAAAAACGTCCACTGTGATGCTAATGGAGCAAAAACCAAAATAAGATTACTTCATAATCCTATTTAAGCAGAAATAAAAACAAGAACATTGTCCAAACCACAAAAATGAACATAGTCCTTTTTCTGACAAATATTGTTGTTGAGTGCTGTTAAGTTGTTTCCAACCCATAGCGACCCTGTATAGGATTTCCAAGGAGCGGCTGGTAAGCTTGAACTCTCGACCTTGTGGTTCAAATGGCTTTGCAATCCAGTGCAGTAACCTACAGCGCCACACCAGGCTGTTGTTGCTGTTGTTAAGTGCTGTCAAGTGGGTCCTGACCCATAGCAACCCTGTATATGGTTTCTGAGGAGCAACTGGTGAACTTGAACTGCTGACCTTGCAGTCCAAACGGCTTTGCAGTCTGGCTCATTAACCCACAGTGCCACACCAGGACTCCAGGACTAATACATTAGCAAATGTTATTTCTTTACCAAATGCAGTTTCAACTCACTTTGTTTTTTCTACTTTCTAAACAAAATTAAAGTAATAGAAATGACTCCACTTCCTGAAAGCATTCATTTCAGAAATGCATACACATATTTGCATGAGCACAAAAGCATAGCAGCACTGTTCACAATACACAAGCCTTGTATTATCTATTTATGACAGATAATAAGCTTATTATGGGTAATAAATTATAACATGTTCATATACTGGCATTCTATATGATAATGAAAATAAAGCACTGAAATTAAAAGTAGTATCATAGACAAATTTCAAAAATATAATGTACAAAGGAAGCCAAATTCAAAATAGTTCATGCTCTACTATTCCATTTATATAAATTCAAACAAGGATAACTAATCCATAATATTGGAAGTGAAGATATCTGTTATTCTTGGGTTCCTAGTAATTGAAATGTATATTTTTATGTAATCTGGAATTTTGTTAATATTTTCTTTTATATTAGGTTGCTGGTGCCAAGTTTGTTTATTTTGTAAAAATACGTTTAGTTGAACATCAAGGATTTGGTCACTTTTCTGTATGTATGCTGTAATTTTAAAAAATGCTTTAAAAATGTTAGCCAATGAAGATCAGGGGTGGGAAAGATGAGCAATAGGATATTGCTGTTTTTCATTGTGCCTTTTCATATGCATGCATTCCTTCAAAAGCAATTAAAACAAAATTATTTAAAATTTAGCATCAAATATTTATTGTTGTTGTTAAGTGCCATCAAGTTGATTCTGACCAATAGGGACCCTATATAGGATTTCCAAGGAGCAGCCAGTGAGCTTGAACCACCGACCTTGCAGTTCAAATGACTTTGCAGTCTGACACAGTAGCACACAGCGCCACACCAGGGCCGCAGCATCAAATATACATAGAGTTTAATGAAACAAAATGGGTGGAAAACTGAGGAAATACAATTAATATTTGATTTTAATTAAGACAACTCATTGTGACAAATTCCAACAAGAGCAAGAATTTCAGGAAAATCAACGGCATGCATAGATTTGGGATTACAGTTGTTCTAAAATGCGATTGAGTCTTCGGGACTCACAGTGACCTCCGTTTAGGGTTTCCGAGATGAGTTTGAACAGCTGACCTTGCAGTTCAAACCGACCTTTTGTCACACCAGGAGTAAACACTATGAAACAAATGCAAATGAAGTAGAATCCAATTTTCTAATATAGGACAAGATAAATGCCGATGGACAGATCAATTACAAAAGAAAGATCAAGATGGGCTTTTCTCCATGACACCTCAAACTTAGAGAAGTTAAGGATAAATACCTAGAACACACTGCATCATGATGTTGTTGTTGTTGTTAAGTGCCATCGAGTCGGTTCCGACCCATAGCGACCCTGTACAGGGTTTCCGAGGGTGTAAATCTTTATGAGAGTAGAAAGCCTCATCTTTCTCCCGCGGAGCGGCTGGTAGTTTCGAACCGTTGACCTTAAGGTTCGCAGCCCGATTCGTAACCACTAAGCTACCAGAACTCCTTCCCTAAATGATTCCAAAGCTATTCCGTAATGTGGCGTTTTGATCGGTTTCTTTGCTAGTGCTTTGGGGCGGGAGACTGGGGATAATCAACTTTGGGAATTTGAGGTCATTTGTCTTGGAGCCTCCTGTTAGATAGATCTCATACTGATAACTATGGGACAATGTCCCAGTGTTGCTGGCGTTTACCAAGTGGTCTGGAAAGTAGCCCTCAGGCACCGGATAGCGACCCATGGAAGCGGCTCTGCTCCTGCACAAACGTACCGCGACGAACAGAAGCACGGAGAACAGGAAGAGTGATGAGACTGATGCCAACGCAATGACCAAGTAGATAGTGAGCGAGTTGGCCTGGGCTTCGTCCGGGGACACCTCAGAGAGAGACAAGTAGGGCTGTGAGAAGCCGTCCACCAGGAGCACTTGCAGTGTGACGGTGGTGGACATTGGTGGCTCGCCATTGTCCTTGACCAGCACAATCAGTCTGTGCTTGGCCGCGTCGCGCTCGCTCAGCAGTCTGGCTGTGCGCACCTCGCCGTTGTGCGCCCACACACTGAACAGTCCGGGTTCCGTGACCTTGAGCAGATGGTATGACAGCCAAGCGTTCTGGCCTGAGTCGCTGTCCACAGCAACTACCTTGGTCACTAGGTAACCCACCTCAGCCACCCTGGGCACCAGCTCGGTGAAGGGCGCAGAGCCATTCTGCAGTGGGTACAACACAAAGGGCGAGTTGTCGTTGTCGTCCACGACCACCACTCGCACCAGTGCCTCGCTGCTCAGCGCTGGGGAGCCTGCGTCTGCGGCGCCCACTCGGAATTCGAACGCTTGCAGGGCCTCATAATCCAACGACGTCAAAACGAACAGATGCCCATTATCTGCACTGATGGAGATCAAGGAGGCTAGAGGGAGATGTGGGTCGTGGGGTGGCAGCAGCGAGTAGGTGATTTGGGCGTTGGGACCTGAGTCTCTGTCTGTGGCGCTCACGGTGCCCACGTACAGGACGGGAATATTGTTCTCACGGACTAACAAGGTGTAAGAGGGTTGGGAGAAGGTGGGAGCGTTATCATTGACGTCGGAGACTAGTACAGTTACGTTGTGCTCGATTTTCAGCCTCGGTGATCCCAGATCAGTGACGGTGATGGTGATGTTGTACTGGGCTCTGCTCTCTCTGTCCAGTGACCTTTCTGTGACTAGCATATAAAAGTTCTCGAATGTGGGTTTCAGAAGAAATGGGAGATTGTCCTGGATGGAGCAAACAATCCTTCCGTTGTCTCCGGAGTCTGAATCTGAAACACTGAAAACAGCAACTACAGTTTCCGGGGCGTTTTCTGGTGTAGGGCTGGTAAGTGTAGACATGGTGAGTTCAGGGGCGTTGTCATTCACATCCATCACTTCTATAGCTACAGTGCATTTCCCTGAGAGACCCCCACCGTCTGTGGCCACAATTTCCACATTATAATATTGAATTGCCTCAAAATCCAATATTCTTTTCAGACGAAGTTCTCCTGTAATTTCATCCATTACAAATGGTTGAGTAACGTCGTCCCCTTGGAAGAGAGAGTAGGTCACACTTCCATATGTTCCTGCATCTAAATCTCGAGCGGACACAGCCACAACCAAGGACTTAAGGGGGCTGCTTTCTGGGACCTGTACCTCATAGAGTGACTGTAAAAACTCAGGGGCGTTGTCATTGATGTCCACAACTTCAATTCGGATTGCCATTGTCCCGGACCTGGGAGGAGTATCACCATCCAGAGCCACGAGGGTTAAACTGAGTTCAGGCTCCTCCTCACGATCTAGAGCTTTGTCCAACACCAGCTGAGGGTATTTTCTGCCACCTCCGCGATTATGTGTGAGAACATGAAAATGGGAGTTGGGGAGAATTGTGTAACCCTGAATAGTGTTGCTACCAATGTCAGAATCCTGAGCTGTTTTCAAGGGAAACACAGCCCCTGGATCGACGCTCTCGGGGATTTTTAGGAGCATTTCACTTTCTAGAAACTCTGGAGAATGGTCATTTATATCTATGAGCTGCAGTTCAACTTGAACAAACTGCACCGGGTTTTCCAGTAATATTTGGAAATGCAGTATACAAGATTCTGACGCCCCGCACAATGTCTCCCGGTCTAGTTTTTCTACCAGAAGCAAACTCCCGGTTTTTACATCCAGCTGCAAGAGCTGTTTGTTTCCTTTGTAATGAATTTTCGCACCCCGGGTAGCCAGTTCCCCCATCCTGAGACCCAGGTCTTTTGCCAGGTGGGCCACAAAGGAGACACTTTCTGTTTCTTCTGGCATGGAATACCTAATTGTCTCAGCGTCAGCCTCCCACCAAAGCAACAGTATAGCAAGAAAGATAACTTGCCTTTTCTGTGGCCATTTTGCTAGTGCAGTCTCCATTGTTCAGTTCCAGTCCAGAAGATCAGTTTCTTCAGCTCCGTATACCATCAATTCGGATGATTTGGTTAAATAGCCTCAAATTCGATATTTCCGATTCTGATTTATACTTGTATACCCTCTTTCTGACGAGCTCTGTCGCTAGACCGTATTTTAAATGTTATCTTCTTTTAGTGAGCACTCAAGTGTTCGGATTCCCAGCGTAATGGCCGCTCGGGTATCCACACATTCTTACTATCCATTTTCTTAGCCTGCAGCGCCACCAGGCGTCCCCCACCCCTTAAAAAAAAATAGTTTATATGTTAAGTGCCTTTCAGTCAGTTTTGACTTCTTAGGGACCCTGTACAGGGTGTATGGATGGTGGGATTGAAACGCTGAACTTGGAGTTAGCAATCCAGTGCTTACTTTACAGAGCCACACCAGGATTCCTACTTTATATAGCATTTGCCATTTCATTCCAAACTTATACCCGATATGTACCAAATTTCTTAAGTTACAGAAGTTCTCCCCATATTTCCAGCTCTTAGTTATTGGATGATAAATATAAATATTTGCTAAGTGAATTTTCAATGAAAGAATAATCTTCAGAACAAACTAAAATGCTATCTATATAAAAGCACCTTGGGAGTACATGAAGAAACTCCATTTTATGGGTTTCTTATTTGATTATAGCTAAGAAACAAAGATAATGGATGTATAAAAACTTTACATTTATGTAAAGACTTTTTATTTTGAAGTGCAACGTACATCCAGAAAAAGCTACAAATCATAAATCATAAATGCTCAATTAAATGGATCTTTACCAAGTGAACACAATGGTATAAGCAGAACCTGTATTTAAATATAAAACATTACCAAACACCAAGAACCTCCCCCTGCTGTTCTCACTTTCTCTTCCCCTCAAAGGTAAGCACTATTATGACTTCTAGGCAATTATTGCCCCACCTTTGAGAGAACTTTTGTATAAATTATTATAGCGTATGTCCTTATTTGTATCTGCCTTCTTTCATTCAGAATTATGTTTGTAAAACTCACCTGTTGCAGGTACTAATTAGCTTTATAAGTTTAGATTATTCTATTGTGTGAATACACTACAACTTGTTGAACATTATCCAGTTGATTTGTTGTTGTTGTTAGGTGCCATCGAGTTGGTACCAACCCATAGCGACCTTATGTACAGCAGAATGAAACACTTCCCAATCCTGGGCCAACCTCACTACTGTTGCCATGCTTGAGCCCATCGATGCTGCCAATTGGCCAACCCATCTTGTTAGGGGTCTTCCTTTTTCTCTGACCCTCCACTTTACCAAACATGATATCCTTCTCCAATGACTGGTCCCTCCTGACAATATGTCTGAAGTATGAGAGATGACGTTGGGCCATCTTGGCCTCCAAGGAGCACTCTGGCTGCACTTCTTCCAAAATGGATCTATTGGTTCTTTTGGCAGCCCATGGCACTTTCAATATTCTCCTCCAACACCATAACTCAAAAGCATCAATTCTTCTATGGTCTTCCTTATTCACTGCACAGCTTTCACATGCATATGAGGTTATTGAAAATGCCATGGCTTGGGTCAGGTCATCTGTGCTCTTCAAAACTTTAAAAAGGTCTTGTGCAGCAGATTTGCCTAATGCAATACCAAGAAATCTTGTTTGATTTCTTGACTGCTGCTTCCATGAGTGTTGATAGTTGATCCAAAAAGAATGAAGTCTTTGACAACTTCAATCTTCTCTCCGTTGATAAGAATGTTGTTTATTGGTCCAGTGGGTGAGAATTTTTGTTTTCTTGACATTGAGATGTAATCCATACCAAAGTCTGTGCTCTTTGATCTTCATCAGTAAATGTTTTAAGTCCTCTTCGCTTTCAACAAGCAAGGTTGTATCATCTGCATATTGCAGGTTGTTAATGAGTCTTCCTCCAATCCTAATGCCACGTTTTTCTTCATAGAACCCAGCTTCTCGGATTATTTGCTCAGCATACAGGTTGAATAAGTATGCTGAAAGAGTACAACCTTGCCGCACACCTTTTTAAATTTTAAACCATTCAGTGTTCCCATTTTCTGTTCGAACAACTGCTTTTTGGTCCAGGTATAGATTCCTCATAGGCACAATTAAGTGTTCTGGACTACTCATACTTCGCAATGTTGTCCATAGCTTGTCATCATCCACACAATCTAAAGCCTTTGTGTAGTCAATAAAGTACAGGTACATCAGAAAAATCTTTGTGATATTCTCTGTTTTCAGCCAAGATCCACTGGACATCAGCAATGATATCACTCATTCCACATCCTCTTCTGAATCTGGCTTGATGCTCTGGAAGTTCTCTGTCAATGTATGATTGTAGCCATTTCTGTATTACCTTTAGCAAAACTTTACTTGCTTAGGATATCAAAGAGATTGTCCAATGAATTCCGCATTCCGTTGGGTCACCTCTCTTTGGAATGGGCACAAATATGGATCTCTTCCAATCAGTTGGCCAAATAGTTGTCTTCCAAATTTCTTGGCAGAGATGAGTGCCTCCAGTGCTGCCTCATTTTCTTGAAAGATTTCAATTTTTATTCCATCAATTCCTGGTGCCTTGTTCTTTGCCAATTCCTTCAATGCACCTTGGACTTCCTCCTTCAGTATCATTGGCTCTTGATCATATGTGACTTTTTTTTTTTTTTTTCCTGGGGGCAGGGGGAAGTGAAGGTTTATTTTTCATTAATCTTTTGAATGCAATGCCCATAACTTTGCAGGCTTAATTTAGTAGCAAACTTGATAATAACACTTCCAGAAGTTCACAATTTCAAGGCTAAGTTTCCAATTAAGGTAATATAATTATCAATTTAATATAAATGAAGTTTTACAAAAATGCTAAAAGCAGTCTGATCCCTTAAAGGAAAATATAAATGATCCAGACTCTAGACTTAGTAATGTAAGTACACTTGAGCACTGTAACAGTCAGAGATAATAAGATCTCTATTGAAGTATTTACTTCTACAACATGTATGCTTTGGTTATTAGCATGCTAGTGTGACTAAGGCAATGTGTCAAGCACGGCGTACAAAAGTGGGGCTAGAAGAGCTATAGGACAATCCTGGCAGCAGTGCTGGCACAGAGCAGGGATGTCATCAGGAGGCGTTTTAGTTGTCTTCTCCTCCATAGATCATCAGGAGGGCTTTCTCATAGTCTCCAGATGTATCACTCTTAATCATGGAATAAAGAGAGGTGGCAAAGTTCTTCCTAAATGCAATTCTTATGTTAAACAGATCAATCTCACTCCTGGAAACCAGCACTCTGATGAGGGTGTGATCATCTGTTTCAGCTCCCTTCATAGCATAATATTATAGAGTTTCTGCAAGGTAGGCAGGTATACTTCGAATAGATTTTATAACAGCAAAAAGTAGTTGTTCCAAATTACCAAAGGTCTTCTGGTCAATGGTTTCCTCAATTTGAAATCCTGATATAGCCATGTATTTGTCAAACTGCTGCCATGACTGTCCTTCTCAGATGAGCCATACTTCGTGTTCCAAAAATGGTGATAAACTTTTCTTCATCTGTGCCCCATTTGAGTTCACCAGCTTGAAACAAAGCCTGAGCATCCTGTTCCACCTGTGATTCATTAATTCCAGCATCAGGGTCTCGATTAGCCTGCAGGAGGACCACTAGCATCCTGTGGTAGAACCCTGACGTCCCCCCCCCCCCCCCCCCCCCACCAAGCCATAGTCTTCCTCATAAACTCGTTTGATAGCTGTCAGTTCTTCAGGTGTCCTTGAAGCAATAATTTCTGTCAGAACTTTTTCATCTGTCCCAGCTCCCTTTAGAACACGTTTCAGTTCATAGGTGTCATAAAGCAGAGAGGGTTTCATCAAAACCACAATTAATTTTTCAAATTTTCCAGTCAGCTCTGATTTCAGGTCATCCAGAAGATCCCTGCCAAACAGAGTTTTTAAAGCTGCAATGATTTCCTGATGCTGGGCATTACTTCGGGATGTCAACAGTGTCAGGATGGACTCCTCATCAGTGCCCAGGCCTTTCATGGACTTCCAAAGAGTTTCTGCATCAGCCTGATCATCAAAGCCAGGGAAGTTGGTCATGGTACCTTTGAGAACCTGTGCCATGGTGATTGCTCAGGTCAGGAGAAGGTGATGCAGGACCAAGTGCTCCCAAACTTTCTGACAGTAGTGGAGAGCATGGCAGCTGAGGCAAACAGCACAGAGCAGGGATGAAGGCTATAAGGACTCTGGGCAGCTACCCTCCCATATGTGACTTCTTGAAATGATTGAACATTAACCATTTTCTTTTGGTTTTAATAGCAGTTGATTGTTGTAGTTGTCAGGTGCCATCGAGTCGGAACCGACTCATAGTGACCCCATGCACAGCAAAACGAAACAATGTCTGATCCTGGGCCAACCTCACTACCGCTGCCACACTTCAGTCCATCAATGATGCAACCTGGCC